GAAAGAGGGAGGGGGAGAGACGGGAGAGAGAGATGGAGGGAACGAGAAAGAGGGAGGGGTCGGAGGGAAAGAGAAAGAGAAAGAAAGGGAGATAAAGAGAGTGAGAGAAGCGAGAGAGGGAGGGAAAGAGAAAGAGGAAGAAAGGGAGATAGAGAGAGTGAGAGAGAGATAGAGAGGGAGGGAACGAGAAAGAGAAAGAGAGAGAGAAAGAGAAAGAGAGGGAGAGAGAGAGAGAGAGAGAGAGAGAGAGGGAGAGAGAAAGAGAAAGAGAGAGAGAGAAAGAGAGAGAGAGAGAGAGTGAGGGAGGGGTGAGAGGGAGAGAGGGAGAGAGGGAGAGATGAAGAGAGAGAGAGAGAGAGAGGGGAGAGAGGGAGAGAGAAGAGAGAGAGAGAGAGAAAAAGGGAGGGGGAGAGATGGAGAGGGAACGATGGAGAGAGAGTGAGAGACAGATGAGAAAGAGAAAGAAAGAGAGAGAGAAAGAGAGAGAGGGAGAGAGAGAAAGAGAGAGAGGGAGAGAGAGTGAGAAGGGGTGAAAGAAAGAATTAATGAATAAATTTGTAAAGAGAGAAAAAATAACCAATTTAAATCTTGATGTCGAAGATTTAAATTTAACAAGAGGGTGTTTAAGAGGGTTTAACTCAAAATATAGCTCAAAGTATAATTAACAGAATTAAAACGCCAAAAATATAGTAATTTTTTTCCTTTTTCTTGATGATTTCAGATGTTTGAGTTTAATTACTACTAAAAAACATAAATATGACGAATTTATTTATTTTTGTTTATTTTACAGTACGCGATTTTAAATCACATTGAACACTAGTTATACTAGATACTGAAATAATAGATTCAACAGAATGAAATGAGTCAGCGCGGCGGGTGATTCAAAGAGACTCAGAAAAAATTATATTCGCAATAATTAACGCGTGCCGCCAATTCTTAATGGAAATATTTAAAAGCATACGAATGTTTGCCGGGCACTACTGCCCATCTGAGAGAAGGCGATAACGCGATGGCATTGCTGAACTGTTGAGTGTAGGTGTAGGAAACCAAACGGATGATCAGGGATTAAATGAAGGGAATCCAGTATGGGATAAAGACGTTGTAGGAGTTTTTCAAGGATCTTTCCCATCAAAGGAACGAATTATTTTTACCCACATCCAAGTACCTTTTTTAGTTTAATAGTTTCTAGTACACAACCGTCCTAATTGACCCCTGATGTTGTGAGTAGAATTTGGGGTGGTGTTTTTCATGAAATTTACGATCATATAAATAATATTGTAATATTACAAAAAGTGTGTCAGTAAGATGAGGTTTTAATATATATAGTAAACTATCTCACGAAACTTCTTTTCTTAAATACGTACGATTTTAGTAGCCACTTATTTAATTGTTAACTAAAAAAATTTGGTTTTGTAGAACCATTCATTATTTGTTCATTTATTTAAATTGTTTTCGCTCAACTGCTTATAATTTATTTAAATTATTTTTTATTGTAAATATTTATGTCATTCTGTGTTGCGTAGCGCCATTTAAAACAAAGAAGATGCATACAAACAATACTCTATTGCCACAACTAAGTTAAATATCAAAATATTTGTTATTTCCTAGAAATTCCTTTCTTATACTTATTTTACTTACGAAAGCAATTTGCAAACGTCAATGAGATTAGAAATGAAAATGTAAAATCCAGGACATTGACAACCCGCAATACTTTACTGCTATGCGGGCTTGCCTATTCGTGATGAATAAGGATCCCTTTGTTTATAAGTCCTACTTTTTGGGGCTATTTTTCTTTTTTAAGCGCTTACTTGTTTCCAAATATTTTATGTTGTTATGTACACAGTTATATTTTCGTTTATTTGTTTACAACAAGAAGATGGTTTTCTTTTAATTAGAGAACATTTCTCAATTTATGTTCAACGTGAGGGGGAAAATAGCGTTTCCAATATCCTTCATACTGGATGTGAAAATTTCAATTATGCGAAATGAAGAACTATAGAAGGAATTGGAACAACGGCAAATGTAATAAAAAATAAAAATATTGGCAAATCTTAAAGGGGTGTTTTGGGATAATTCAGTTTAATAAAAGCAAAACAGTATTTATGTTCTTTGGGATTTAAGAGTGTTGTACTTTACTATTTGTGCAAATAAAAGATTTTTAATTAAAATCGTATATTTCACAAAAGAATAGTTTTGAGAATGACGAAATATGAAGTTAGAGAACTTCAATGGTCAAAGTATAAAAGTGGAAGTGCTAATGTAAAAACCATTAACGAAACTATAATTTTTGGTTTAGTATAACTAACTTAAAATATAGGTTCATAATAAAGCAATACAAGTTTACACGTGGTTTTACTGGTGTGAAAATTTTGTGTTTCCCACTTTGGAAAACGAAATATCTGAAAAGTGTTCGCGATCTATTGTAAAATGCCATTTACGAAGGCCTGTTCGTGATGTTGTTGAGCTTTAGAATAAGTTAATCTAAAAGTATGATCAACAATGACAATTTGATGAAATAATAATTGAAAACATTTGCATAGACACAAATTATGTGGTTTCGTTAAAAATCATCTCGACCAGCTCTTCCTATTTAAAATAACCTTTTAAGATAAATTGGAAGATGAAATATTGTCTATTTTTTTAATATATTCAATCATAATATGAGCCTATTTTTTTAAATTGAAATCTGATATTTATGTACATAATGGCTAATTGCTTTTAGGTCTTTTCCTGTAAATACCCATAAACAGACTCCCGACTAATTAAACCAGAATGTTTTTTTACTCCTGCAGGTGTCTATATTGAATTTACCCATAAGCGAAGTTTCTCGAACTGCAAAAAATCCCTTTCTCAGACAATGAGTTCAAAGTTTGAAATATGGTGGTATCAAGTGGTGGTGTATTTAGCCGAAGGTCGTTGGTTCGAATCCCGTCGTGACACTAACTTTTTCAGTTCAACCAATACCTTACAAAAGATTAATTAATTGAAAGAAGTTAATTGCTTAATTGGTTAATCGGACCACGAAATATAGTGGATTATTAATTGTTTCAACGTCAATTTTATAGAGAATATATAAAAAAAACTTGTTCACATCGCTATAAACACAAAATTACCTGTTATTACTGTAAGCTGATCTCGCAGAATCACACGTCAGTGTAAACGGATCGCACGCTGAACCTTGCAAAGTGAACGACAGCTCCTAAGACAGATATTGCATCGCATCGCAATATTTGAAAAGTAAGAAAAAAATCAGCTCTGCCATACTTGTTACAGCATCCCAAAAAAGGTCATCCTATTGATGAAAGCATTTCTACGGGTTTTTTCTTTAATTACTAAATTACTACTCTAAATTACTATTAAACCGCATCAATGGAGATATTTTATATGCAGTTTAAAAGTAAAATGATAATTAATAATCTACAATTTACAAATTACTTGATTTGTATTGTTGTGTTCAAACATCCAACTATCAATAATTAGGAATAATTGAAAAGATAATAAATGACATAATAAATGATAAATTAATTAAAAGTGAAAATACTAACCTACTGCTAATCAAGGTGTAAGAAATTAAAGCGAGTTTAATTGCTTTGGAGTTAAATCACTATGCTGACCAACCAAACATACTTCAAGGCTATGCGGGTTTGCCTACTAACGGAAAACAAGGAAATTATCCATTTTTCACAAGTTCTATTAGTTTATTTTTTATTTTATTTTTTTATTAATCTTTTATTTGTTGTTATTTGTATTTCGTCATACATTTCAAATGTATTTTCGTTTCTTAGTTTGTTGTCATATTTTTTGTTTTTCAATTCATGTACATCACAGCAGAAATGAAATCCTTCAAATCGCTCAAGTTAATATGCAACAATTATTTTACATATTTCACTTTGCATAACATGAACTTCAGATGTTACGCAAAGTGAAATATGTAAAACAATAATCTAGGGTTTAAAATAATCAACGAACTACGAACTATGTTAGCTGTTAAGTAACTAGTGAGGTTTATCTTCTCGTAGGTTCATAAAAGTAAAATCGTATTAAGTATTCCACTTAATCCTTTTTTTTAAATAAATATTTCTGAGCAAAATCATGTGATGTATGTTAAAACATGTTCAGGTAATTATAAAAACGTATTATCAAAATTTAAATAAGTAAAAAAAAAGGTTCGATAGAATTATTTAAAAATAAGAAATAATTAAATAAACCTTTCAATTAATTAAGGTTTTTAGTTAAGATAAAAAATTCAGAGTCACGAGCTGGATTCGAACCCTCTTTTACTTGAGCTGTCGTGACTTCGATCCACTAGGACACTAACTTTTTATCTCAACCCAACCTTTTGAATTTTCCCTCCTTTTTGCCATTTTTCAAAGTCGTGTAATCTATTTGATTCTCTGCGACAAATGAAATGGCCATGGAGAGCTTTAGTGAAGATATACTTCATTTTAACTTATTAAATGCACTAGTTTTCGTGGCCCGCTTGACCAAGTAATAACTTTCAATTAATTAAGGTTTTTAGTTGAGTTAAAAAGTCCGAGTGGATCAAAGTCACGATAGCTCAAGTGGTAGAGAAGCGGTGTATCTAGCCGGAGGTCGTGGGTTCGAATCCCGCTAGTGACACTGCCTTTTTTATCTTTACTAAAAACTTTAATTAATTGAAAGATATTAATTGGTCAAGCAGACCACGAAAACTAGTGAATTAAATAAAACGTTTCTGAAGCTCTAAAATTTACTTATGTTTATCGTCACCACCCGGTCATAATTATATGGAAGTAATATAAATGCTTCACTTAAATTAGTTGGTTCATTGTAAAACAGCAATTCGCATAATCGATGTTACGGTAAGTGACTTGATGGACCATATTACATTTCATTCCTAGAAAATCGTATTGCGATTGAAAAGATTTAAATACATTTCCAATGCCCAAATAAAACTTTAATGTTGTCGCAGTAAAATCATTAGTTCTGATGCGAAACCGAAGGCTTCCAAGGTTTCATCTTTTCGAACGTATAAATAAGGTGAAACTGGAAGATTTTACAGTCTACGGCTTTGCATTGTTTGGCAGACATGGAACTATTTCTTGTAAGTAGCATATTATACGTTTCCTCGTTATTGGCTAATGTTTTTGACAAATTCAGTATAACTTTTTTAAATGAATCAAATGATAAAGCGAACACTTAAACCTAATGGGGTGGTTATAATAAGTGACAAAAGGCACAAGAAGTTTGTTAAGAATTTAGAGTATAAGGAAAATTTTAAGGACTATAGCAATCAAATTTTTGTGTTATGTGGTTGGGATCCCCGATTTAATGAATCTAGGAACCGAGGAAAGTAATTTAAACACTTTAAAAAAAATATGGTTTTCTGACATTGTTGTGCATGTACTTCCAGATTGTTAAATATTGATCATATTAGATCCTTCAAAGACAGAAAACTACTAGGTGCACTATCACCAAAACCGGTTCAGTAAAAAGGTCGGTACAAAGTCTGTAGAAACGCTTTTAAGATAAATTCCAATAGTGAAATCAAATATAATGTTTTTTATATAATAAAACATTAGCTAATAGCCTTTAATTTTTAAGTTAAGCTTTATGCCAACGGGTATACATAAATGTTGGTTAATATGATTGCTCTCATAGCTTCTTTTTCTGATTGGGACTGGAGTTAAGCCCTTTGGAGCCGTTCCGTTGGGTGAAAGCGTATCCTCCGCCGTTGGTGAATTATATTTACATCCAGCTGATTCACCCAGGTATAAACCTTCCGGATCTGGCGTCGGTGGATTACTCTCTGCATTTGCTGATGTAGGCCAAACTATTCTCGATGCAGTACCGAAAGTTGGCTCATCAGGACTCTCAAGTTCAACTGATATAGACAAAACGATTGTCACAAGTACAAAAGTACCTGTTGTTGATTCATCAGTACTTTCAGTTTCAGTTGATATCGGAAAAAAGGTTCGCACTGGTGTACCTGGCGTTGGTGAACCAGTACTCCCAGCTTCAACTGATGTTGGCAAAAAGGCTCTTAATGCAGTATCTGAAGTTGGTGCATCAATACTCTCTGCTTCAGTTGATTTAGGTCCAAAGGTTCCCTCTATTGTAGCTAGAATGGGTGAACCGGTACTCCCAACTTTAACTGATTTAGGCAAAAACGTCCCTACTGCTGTACCTGGAGTTGCTGGACCAGTACTCTCAGCGTCAACTGATTTTGGAAAAACCATTTCCACTGCAGTACCTAGAGTTGGTGAACCATTACTCTCAGCTTCAACTGATACAGGTGAAAAGCTTCCCGCTGCGGTACCTGAAATTGGTGAACCAGTACTCTCAACGTCAACCGATGTAGGCAAAAACGTTCTCACTGCTGTACCTGGAGTTGCTGGACCAGTACTCTCAACGTCAACTGATTTTGGAAAAACCATTACCACTGCAGTACCTAGAGTTGGCGAGCCAGTATTCTCAACGACAACTGAATTAGGCAAAAACATTCCCACTGCTGTACCTGCAGTTGATGAACCAGTACTCTCAACGTCAACCGATGTAGGCAAAAACGTTCTCACTGCTGTACCTGGAGTTGCTGGACCAGTACTCTCAACGTCAACTGATTTTGGAAAAACCATTACCACTGCAGTACCTAGAGTTGGCGAACCCGTACTCTCAACGCCAACTGAATTAGGCAAAAACATTCCCATTGCTGTACCTGCAGTTGATGAACCAGTACTCTCAACGTCAACTGATTTAACCAAAAATTTCCTTAACTCAATCTTAAAGTCAACTGATTTAGACAAGAAGGATGTTGAACGTGATCGTGTTGGATTATTCTCAGCTATAGCTGATTTAATCAAGAAGTCTCTCTCTGCAGTAACTGGAGTCGGTGAATGCTCCTCATCATCAGATTCAACCGACGAGAATAATTCTGCCGTTAAGGGATTGGTATCATCTCAAAAAGACAGTGATGCCCTCTCTGCTGTACCTAAGGTTAGTACTCTATAAAAAGCTCCGGCTTTTTGTGGTATTAGTGATTCAGGCTATTTAGACAATACTGGTCTCTCTCTTCCGTAGATTATTTTTGTCGCTTATTGATACAAATGGATCATCTTTATCCTCCAGAGGTTTAGACAAGAAGATAAGACGCATATCTATTTATTTTTGGCAAGGTCAACCGCTATACTATCCCAGTGCGACTAATTAAAATTATTATGCTGTGATGTAAAAACATAATAAATTATGTAGTTGGTTTTGAATTTTTTTTACTGAGTGTTATAACGTAACCTAAAGATCTCTATTTAACTGATATTTATCACACATCACATCAGATCACTGTCCGTACGAACTATAAATAAACACCGGTATTGATAAATTATACTATTCCGCAATACCGAAATGCTTGGCGTGCTAACTGGTACACACGTTTTTTTATTGAATTGCAATTTGAAGTGAAATCGCGTTTGTAATGCTTGGCAGACACGTAAACTCGATACAAGTACAACCGTATAATTATAGTAAGTATATGAATTTTAAATATCAATACATTTTCACTTTATTATTTACTAAATTCATTAGATTTCTTGGTCCGATTGACCAAATAACATCTTTCAATTAATTAATCTTTATGTAAGGTGTTGGCTGAGATAAAAAAGTATGTGACACGGCGGGATTCGAACCCACGACCTTCGGCTAAATACGCCGCTGCTCTACCAGTTGAGCTATCGTGACTTCGATCCACCCGGATACCAACTTCCCATCCCAAACTAACCTTTTAAATTTTCCATCCTTTTTGCCATTTTTCAATTCCTTTTCGTTCCTTTTTTAATTTTCCTTTTTGCGAGTCCCGCTCGTGACACTGACTTTTTTACCTCAACCAATATTATTGTACCTTACAATTATTAGCGGTCATGGGTTCGAATTCCGCTAGTGACACTGATTTTTTTTAATCTCAAACAATACCTTACATAAAAATTAATTTATTATTTATATTATTTTTTATCGTTAGTTCAGAACCATATTCAATTTTGTGCTGAGTGCCTTTATCAGAAGTGCGCGAGCATTTTTTTAAAAATCAACCGATTGATTATAAGTTATAATTTGTTAATTTTGTCTGGTAGACAAATGGCTATAGTGCCTAAAAAGTGTTTGAATTTGTTAGATAGAATAGGTTGCTTGGTTTTCAATTTTTGGAATCTGGCTTTTTGAAAGTTGAGCTAAGTCTAGAGCAAGAAGTCTCAGCGCTACGAATAAATTTATTTAATGATTAATCATCGAGAAAAGGTTATTGATTATTATTTTGTAATAAGCTTGGAGAAAAAATAATTCTAGTATATTTTTGGCGTACATTTTTCACTCCAGCTATGTTGTAATTTGTAATTATTTGGAGTTGACAATAAATTGGAATGAGATGATGATAAATATATTAAATTAATTATCTGATAACATATTACTTCACCTAACAAATTGCATAATTCTTTTTATTAGTTAGTTAATTAGTTTTATTTATATTATGTTTTATCCTGCTTTACTGGCTTCTATATATAATAATGCAAGACCAATAAAAATAAACATTACATAAACATCGTTGTAATTTTCATTAACTTCGCTCAGGTTTGTAAATGATTTGTTGTTTTTGGTAGCAGTCGTAAGAATAATTGTTATATTTTAGTGTAATTAGAGTGCCAACTTGGGTGACTGCGGTGTCCGTTAGGCGTTCGACATATATTTGCCTACAAAATTAAAATTTAAGTAATTCATATGAAAAAATCTTTAACTCTAACCGTAACCGTAAATTCTAACCCTAACCCTTCACTTATAGGGTTATACCCCCTTAGGCTATAACCCGGCTTTTAACCTAACCGTTCCTAACCGTAACCATACCTAATGTAACTTAATTGTAACCAAACCTAACCCTTTCTCTAATTCTTCCTTACTAACGTTAACCCTAACCTAACGTAACGCACCCCAAGTGTACACCCCGGTAATGTGAAAATGGTAACGCAAACAAATTGTGTATACAGTCCACAAACATATCCATGTTAAAATAATCGAAAAATGGAAAAACTAACTGTTCGAAGTGTTAGTCTGTTTATAAATTAATCCTTCGGTGATTGCAAAATTATTTTAGGACCTGGTTCAGAACAAGCATCTGTAACATGGGTGTTAATTTTTCAGGACGGTAGTTAACTGGACCAATTCTTTCCCTTTTCTTATTAACCCAATCCTAATTGGACAAGTGTACACACGAAAGCTTTCCTACAATTCCCAATTACAATGCCCATCTCATCCGAATTTAAAATCGCCCAAATTTTCATTAATTTTATTGTTTCAAATAAGCAAAAAATCACCGGGCTTAATCAACATAGATCAAATGGAAAAACTAAACAAAAGCACATTCTTGATTTGAAAACAATAGCGAAAGTTTGTTTTATTGCATTATCTGATTTGATGTGCTATTTTTTCAATATCTAACGTTTTTCTTAAACAATTGTCAAACGGTTTTCAGCGTTTTTCTCAAAACCGTATTGACTTGGTGAATCTGAAAATGAAAATGTAGGTTACTATTTGAAAAAAGTTAATTTTTTTACTATTGCTATATGTTTGAAAAAACGTAATTTTTGCAGTATTTGAAAGCAGTACTTTTGCGAAAAAATCTAGGTGGAGCAAGTTTTGAGAATATCAAGGGGATTGTTAAATAGAAGAGAGAGATAGAGAGAGAGAGAGAGAGAGAGAGAGAGAGAGAGAGAGAGGGTGAGAGAGAGAGAGAGAGAGAGAGAGAGAGAGAGTGAGAGAGGTGAATCTTTTTAAAATTATATTTTACATTTTTATTTCGCCTTGATTTCACGATGACATTTTTCCCTCCTGGCATTATAAAACATTGCTGCAGCCGACACAACACCGACGGTGCCAGACCGTAGATGTACCAACAAGGCTACGAAATGGGCAGGGAAATTATAAAACATTCAATAATTGACATCAATAATAGATAATGCAGATTTACCAAAGTTAAACACTAGAAAACCATAATGTATGCAAGTTAATTTATTTAAAACTAAAGAAGTAGTTCTTTTTCTCGCTTGGCGATATTTAACTAAAACAAAAACATTATAAATAAATTATTAAAGATAATGGGATATGGAAGGATTTTACGAAAGATTGTTTTTTGGTTCATAAATTTTTCTATTGCAGATTATTCCAGCATACCTGTTTGTTTGAGGTCCTTCGTCAGTCTTTACAGTACTGTGTAAATTCTCGCTAATAAATAAATTTGATCTCAAGAGATGGTTTCAATAAAAAAACAATTATATAAAATTTAAAAAATATGTATCCTTCAAATTTTATTGTTATTTAAAAAATAGTGAAACAGGATACCCAGAAAATCGTCATTTTCTCATGTAGGATTTTCATATCGTTTACCATTTCAACTCGCTCCTTATAAAGAGCCAAGGCATGACTTCCTTCAACTGCTTGGCACTAAAAATTGAACTTATCATTATTATTATTATATGTGTATATAATATGATAAATTTACTTACTGCTGATAAAAAAAAAATTCTGCCAAGAAAATACCTACACGTTTAAAGAAAAATTTGTTATTTAAAGAAATTTAAAGTAAAAGTTTATATGTATTTAATTATTATTAATAGAAGGGCTTATTTCATGATGATTGATTGACTTTAGAACGGAAATGATTTCAACTGAAATACCATGTTCATCTCAAGAAAGTATAACCGATCGGAAAGAGAGGAAGTTATTTCGGAAATCCATTTCTTTTTTCCCCAATCAAAAATCAATCAAGGAATCAATCGATCAAAAACGCCCAGAGAAAGACATAGGTCGAAATAATAAACTTGTATGTCTTGAAATTAAATAAAGTTTATTATTAAAGGAACACAGCCAGAAAACCCTTAAGTCCTAAATTATTTACAAAAATGGTGATTCAAGTGCTACATTCGTGTTCTAAATAATAATTGAGGGGTCAATAATTCCCGGCGAGAAAATGGGAGATCTGTCGACTTCGAAAGAAGCAGCCAGAGGTGCGTCGACGATCTCTTCGGCGGTGGGCGACCGGGTACGAATGATTTTGGTAAGGATCGAGGCTTCCTCGTCGATCCTCGGGGCGACCTGATTTCCGATTCCGACTTCCGGTGCATCGGAAATGGACGCGTCCTTTTCTTCCATTTTTTCTTCCCTTTTGATCGTAGCTCCTTCTGCCATGGCTACGGCCAATAAGACGACCTGAAACGGCAATAATCGGCCAAATGAACAAGATTTATTATATCAATAAATCAAAATACAAGTACATAAATGAAAAACTGTTAATATTCATGCAAAAAATTAGATATTTAAATAAAAACTCACAATCAAGAATTTCATTTTGGCGATAGGAACGTTTTTCTTCGGTTTCGAGAAAATCTGAAGAGAGAGAAGATCTGCCGTTTTATATAGACGGACGTGTCCTTGGAAGATCCCACCCCTTGGACAAGAAGTTATTTTCCATCCTGGCAGGCGGTTTTAATTGAGTTTTAAGATAGACACATTTCGTTTTATATAATCAACATAGTTCCTTAAAATATGTCAACAAAATAAAAAAAAATATTTTCTCACATATTTGTGTTGAACCGGTTTTTCTGACATAATTTAAATGCACTTGCTATGCATAATTATTAATGTTTGAATATTAGATCTCGAATTTCTTTTAGGATTAACCATGTGTCGAAATTTTTTTTATCCTAATGGTTGGATTTATCCAGAAAAAGAAATCAAAGGTTTGAAAATAATAATTTCAAACGAGTAAGTAAGTAAAATTATTAGTGTGAAATAAAGTCAAAATTCAATGAAAACACGCTAAACTGCTATAATGTAAGTTAATTTGTTGAAATCTGACAAAGGTAGACTGCGGACGTGTGATAACTAATGTTAATTAATGTAATATCATAATAACTGATATTAATTTTTAAAAAATAATAATAGGTCGAAAAATATTAAACACGTGTCTGATCGTGCTTGCTAATGGCCCCCAGGAGTCGAGAAAAAATATTTTAACAGTTTAAACACTTTCGTTTACTGACTTTGTTATTCATGTATTTAATGTAATCAAGCGATTTTTTTAATCGTAAGATAAGAAAATAATATGAAGGATTACATTAAGTGAGATTAAATATGTAAAACGTCTCCAGTAAATTTGGCCGAGATTTTTTTAAAATACTATTCCAATTCGTTTTAAGCACTCTATACAGTTTTGAAATAGGATTTT